TGTTTCACAATTGGCCAATAATAACGTGTTATTCAATTTCATGTGACGACCAATCACGAGAAAGTTATCCTATATCCTCTGGTCTATATACTGTCAAAGTAATTTGGTAATCCGCGAAGTAATTCGGAAGTTAGATGAGGTATGTTGGACGTTTAAAATTAGCCTATAGGTATAATAAATTAATCAAACTCAACAATTTAAGCCGTCTTTTGTTTGTGAAAACTTATTTTTTGTAATCTTAACTAATAAAGAAACCTGTCTATAATATAGGCTAATAATATGAAGCTGAGCGCCATAAGGATAATAGATTTCATGAGAAGAGTTAAAGAAAAATACTGTAGCATACTTTAACCTTGTAACGATTGTTAAATAGAATTAATTAGTTTGATATTAGAACGAACATCATAAGTTATTTTTGGCATTTTTTTATTGTTTATTAGCATTATAGGGTAGGTTTAATCATTTTTTTTTGTATTTTTATTTTTTGTTTCTCTTCTTTCTTTGATTTGTAATATATTGAAGTTTTTTAATAAAATTTTAGTATATTGGAGTTTTTCTGATTTTGTTCGGTTTTGTTTGTGATAAGATTATAATTTTAGGGTTTAAATTATCGAGATTTTATGGTAAAGACTTCTGCCAGTATTAACTTGATTATAGATATAATTATTTTCTACATATTAATTTTTTTTTATTCGTGATTCGATATTTTTATTAATCTTCGATCAACCAATATAATATCACGAGATGATCTACAAAAATTGGCCAATCACTATGAAAGCCCGCTATGTTTAATTAGAATCGAAATTTACGGTAAGTCATGTGATATTTTTAAGACACTTGAGTTCAAGAAAATTAAAAGAATCTGCGTGAGTTATTTTTTTGATCGTCTATGTTGAACCAAATTTCACCATAGTTTAAAGATATTAATTGTAAAATCGGTCAAGGAAATGTTTTTAGTTCCAATAACAACAATATTAACTTGGAATATTCAATCGACATCGTAAAGAAGCAAAATTTAAGAATAAGGCAAAGGACATAGAAAACTTTTAAATAAATTAAATTCAATCCATCTTTTTGTTTACACTCAAATAAACTATATTATAAGTAACCAATCACAAAATTTAATATTCTTTATTTTTTTTACAATTCACGAATACATAAACCAAAAAAATTTTTTGCGAAAAATTTCTATGAAAAAAAAAACATCATCAAGAACCAATCTTGAACCTTTCATATTATTTTTTATGAATATTTTTCTCTTGCTTCGAACTCTTCAAATTCAAAATCATTACCAATACTCTGAAATGAAGTTAAGGTTGTGTTCACTTTAAGGGATTCAAATAAAATTTTTCCTACATTAGCTCCAACTTTATTAAATGAAATATTTAAAAATGTTAAACTATTATTTTTGCGAAGGGTATCGGCTAATGCTATTCCACTATCAGGTCCGAGTAGGTTATCGATCAGCTTTAAAGTAGTTAACGTTTGTTTTCGCAAAGAGCTTCCAATAACGCTTTTCCTCCATCGGAGCCAAGCTTATTGAATGAAAGATCTAAAGATGTTAAAGCTTTATTTTTGCGAAGTGTATCTGCTAATACATCTCCAACAACGGATACATCAGAGCTATCTGCTAGTGCATTTCCCAAGATTAAACATACCTTTTCTTGTCAATCAAATTTGCGAATTTATTCATCGAGAATTCCCGATTTTCTCTTTTTAAAAATGTTTGAGTGATCTTACAAAAGAATATTCGTATAAGATGCAATTAACCATGAAAAAGATCTTAAGATCAAGAATTACTTATTATTACAAATCGAACATTGTTTTTTAAATTTTGTGGTCATATAAATTCATTCTTTATTCACAATAACTTTGTTAACTGATTTAAATTTATTAAATTGAAATGAAGATATAAGAGAAGAAATCATGATTAATACAAAGAAAAATTGAAACAATTTGTGACGAGGTAGAATGCAGGGATATTAAACCAATGATTACTTCCTATCAAAATGATTCTTCAATTTATAATATAAACGTTCTTCATCCATGATACTATTCATAAGAAGGGAACATTCAAATGCCTTCCTATTATTGGCATTAATTTCTAATAATCTATTCAAATCTTCTGAAGCTTTGTCATATTCACCAGTCGCAGTATATGCTTGAGCTCGAATACTCAACATCTCTTCGTTAGAGCGATTATATTCTAATAATCTATTAAGATCGACCAAAGCTTCATCATATTTACCAATCGCAGTATATGCTTTAGCTCGAAAACGCAATATTTCTTCGTTATTTGGATTCATTTTCAATAATTCAGTCGAAATATCGATCAATACTTCTCCTTGAAATCCTAACACAACCTTATTTTTTTGATAAATGTCTAACAATCGATTTAGATCGTTCAGAGTTTCATAATGCAAGCCAAGTTTACGGGATTCTTCAGCACGACTGTCTAGATCGTTCAGAACTTCATTTTGCCTGCCAAGTTTACGGTATTTTTCAAAATGGATTGTTAACATTTGATACAATGCAAATTCTATAAATTATGAATTATACCTGGTAACAAAACTATTATCAAGCTGTTTGTTGGGTGTTTTCTCAAGGCTTTGCTTCGAATTCATTGGGAAGACTGGATTTTAAACAGATAATTTAAAGTTTAATATGAATAATAACGCGCGTTTTTCTCACTAACAGCATAGATCAGCATAGATGAATATAATGTAGGAAAGAAGTTAACATTCTTACTTTGGCCTTTAAAAGAAAGGATAACAAGTAAATGGAGCCAATTTATTTATTTTTTGATTAAGTGAGGATTTTAGAGATATATATGAACTTACAAATATAAATATATAAGATCTGCACAATACTAATTCAATACTTTAGAATAACTACATAAATGCACGATATTAAAATATACTGTATATGATATTAATTTATTAATATATAATATAGCATATATGTTCATTTCCAAAATTTTGAATACAAGGCTACAAGTCAAAAAAGTTTTAAACAAGAATTTATTCAAAGTTTCACAATTTTCTTAATTCTTGCTTTCAGTGTTTATAGTCCTTCTTCACATATAGATGATTTTTACACAAAATCCCGGTCAGATTTATCAGCTGGGCACTTTTCACTTAGAGGTTGGAACCGGTTTTAAAAATTAAATTTGGCGTGATAAATTCCGAATTTTTAAAACCGTTTCCACCTCTATTTTCACTTATGTAAAATTTTAGTTTTAATGATAATATAAAAATTACTCTACTCTAATTTTAATTCCGGTAATATAAATTACATATTTATTCAAACTTTAAATAAATCTACTGGCAATGTTTATCAATCCGACCCATTCAGACCGAATTTGGTCGAAAGTCACGGGATTTTATTTTCAACGAAATAAAATGAAAATAAAACTAATCGAACTAACCGAAGAGAAATAAATGAAACTCATATGATTTATTATTTAATTTTCATTTACTTACTAATGAAATAAATTTTCTCATGTATAATATAGTTTACAACCTACTGTATATAGTATAAAATTTAATCTAAATACAGAAAAAAATCCGTGGGGTATGTACCGATTTGATGACGGCAGTAGATTTGAAATATAAAGAAGTAAACCTTCATCAGATATTACGAAGTAAGATATCACGTGACACTAACGAATTCACAAATTTTAGAATATTGATAAAGTAATTATTCTACATACCGTATAAACTTAAATTAGATTATTTTTGATACTTTGATTTCTTTTTAGATTTATCATGTATTATTTATGAGTAGACCAGAAGTATTACTCTTTCATACTTTTGCATTATTTATTATAATTAAACTTAATAATGGTATTTTTATTGAATTCCCTTCCTTTATTTGTGAATGTCTGTCAATGGTAAACTTTTCAGGCTTAATTTTGCCCGGAATTATATTTTGATTTTTCCTGGAGTTATCGTATATATTATAAATCCGTGGGTTACATATTACCCCATAATTTTAAAGTAAAATTTCAAATAAATTAAAATTTTTAGAGTATGCTACAACAACTAATTTCGAACTCAGTTCACTTTCGGAGATCCAGAATTTAATTTAGCAAGATCTACAATATACAGGGTACGTATACTGTAATTTTGATGACGTTATTTTTTTAAATCGATGCGTAAACAAATGTCGATCACTTAACCTCTTTCCTTTGTTCCTTTAATTTTTTTTCTTTCATATTTTTTTTTTACCTTTTCTTTTCGTTGTGCGGATAGGGCCACTGAATGTGGTAGTCTAAACTTGAAGCTTCCATACACATAAAATGTCTTTCTTTTTGTTTTCGTAGTTTTTTTTTATAAACTTTTTTTTATCTTTTTGACTCCGTCGAAGTGTATGTTCTCTGAAATTGAGCTGAGAACCGACGAAGGTTTCGAGTTGGTAACGAATACGAGTGTCTAGACGTGAAACTGGCTCGCAGGAATTGACCGTAAGATATGCTCT